CTCACCCGCCCACCACCCGCCTCGCCGCTTCCCCTCTTCCTCCTCCTCCTGCCGTCACCCGCCCAGCTGCTCCCCCTCTTCCTTGCTCTCCTCCCCGCCGGCCATGAACTTTCAGGGCGGGCACGGGCAGAGCCCCGGGCAGCCGCCGCCAGCGCCACAGCAGAGCCGTCCACTCTATATTTTGAGTGGAAATGTTGGGGGGTCGTCTTATACTGCCAGTCGCCTTGTACGCCGGCAAATATGGTAGTATAATTTTAAATGATTAAAATTAATAAATTTAGTATACATACTGGGGCTGGGGGAATATATACAAAAATTTTCCCCAAAGAGTGTTCTTTCAGCCCATTCTCCCACAAAATCTTTGCCACATAAGCCATCCATCCTTACTTCTGTATCAGTTCAAAACCACCATTATCATCTAGGTGGGAAGCATGAACATGGCTGTAAAACAATGAGGTGAAATAATCCTGATTTCCAGAGTTGATTTCTGCATTTGCCAGGTTCAGCCTGCACTTGGGGAACTCTTTCCAACCTGCTTACCATGGTACTGTTGCCCAGCCCGCTCCAGCTACCTACCTACCTTGTGGAACTCTGGTCGGTGGTTCTTATCATGCTTATCCCTTTAAAAAAAGAGCATCAAATTAGACCCACTACATGTTCTCATGTCAAAAAGCACGAGTCTGAATTTCAAAGATGAGACAGAGGAGTGAAAATAATGAGGGAAGGGATGGAGTGGCATTTCAGAGCACGGATTTTTTTTAAAAAAAAATGGGGCGGTTGCGCTAGCAGCGGAAAAGCATTTTGGATATATCAGCCTAGACAAAAATGTATTTACTTGGAACAGAAAGATTGTTTCCTGGAGGCAATCAGGGAGAGGAAGAGTGTGTCACTTCCCTGGTAGAATGCAGACTAATGCAGTACACCTATGGAGGAATAAGGAAGACTATCTCAGCAGTGATGCTGGGAGCCATATCAAACTTGAGGGCACAATTTATATGGAAGTTGATTTGGGGCTGGGTGTGTCTTCTGGAACAAAATACAACAAAATCTCCAAATACAGACAGACAAAGCTTTGAAAAAGGACACTGGGAGATGTAGTTCTAAAAGGTGACTTTTCCAAATTCTGCAGAAGAACATCTACTCACCCACGTTCACTGTAGGCTGCTTTCAAAAATGTCACACAGTTTTCTATGACTGAGTGAATAAATATTAACATATCTCCCCAATTCTGGCTGCCTTCCACTGGATAACTGTCTTGCACTATGTCAGCTTCAAGGTAATGGGGTCTAACCTATAAAGTCCTAAACAGTTTGGGACCTCAGTACCTGGCAGAATGCCTACTTCCAACCAGATCTGCCTGTCCTACCTCAAAATCCCATGAAGGCTGGCTGAGGACACTAACCCTGAGAGAGGCTTGGAGGGAGAAATTGAGAAACTGGGCCTTCTTGGTGGTTGCTCTTTGGCTGTGGAATGAAATGCCTCCTGCAATCGCCTGGCCTGTACGCTAGCAATTTTAAAGAAATCTTTTAAAACTTTGTTATTTAGGCAAGTGTTTCAAAATATCACACCTGCGGAGCCCATTGAAACTTTTTGCTTAACTTGATCTAATTCCACCATCTTAATTGTCTATTCACATCAACTGTACTTCTATGTATTTTAATTGTATTTTTATACTATTCTTTTCAGGTTAGTTTTATTTATTTTAGCTACATTTATTGTGTACTTCTTGTTGTAAACCACCCAAAATGGCCTTTGCTCAGATGGGTGGTATAAAAATTAAACAAATAAAATAAAAATAAATAATAATTTATTGACCTCTCCACAACCCCTCGTGTGCTTCTCTGCAGTGGACACAGCAACATACTCACGCATAATTGGGGTGCACTGCGTGGGCCATATCTGCACTAATCATGCAGGACTTTGGTACAGCTTCCTCAAATGCTGTCAGGTTTTGGGGTGACACCGAGATACGCCGAAGGACGAGTTCAGTGAGTAGGGACATCGCACCTTGGGCACTTTCTGAACCAACCTGTCAGGGAGGCTGCAATCAGTATAAGAGAACCACCCAGAGCTTGGAAACATTTCTGTTCTGGACTACAACTCCCAGCATCCCCTAGCTGTCAAAAACTGGTGATGTTTCCAAGTTTGGCACTACTTAGAATCTTAGCTCTCATCCTTCCTGGGAGAACAACTCCAGTTGTTCTCTCTTGTCACCTCCTTATTCTCTAGCGTATTTTTCTTACCATCCATTACTCCATTAGGCTTAGCCGCTATCCAAATAATTATATTCCTTCAACTTATTACACTGCAAGCTTCTTCTACTTTCCACCTCCCCAGGAAATGTGGCCATGCAGGAAACCCTTCCACTGACCTCTTCGTTGTCATAAAGAGCAACGAGGCGCACATTTGGCTCTTGGGCAAGAGCCCCAGGTACTTCACTAGATTCAATCAGAGCCTGTGGAGACAGATAAGTGACTGGGATAAATCAACAGGACAAGGAGAGATAGAAAAGGCTCAGAAACATTTTCTTTTGGTTTTCCTATAGGCTTGCATGTCAGCATACAGCAATAGAAAGATAGGATGCTATCGATAAATTGGGTTCCAATGATTCAATATCCATAGGCTTCTTTCACCTCACAGGTCAGCTCTGGAACAGGATGATATCTGTTGGCAACTCCAGGAGGAAGAAGATTAGCAATCTCATTACCCCTTCACATCGGGGCGGGGGGGAGAGACCCTGGCTAGTGTGGCCACCATGAAGCTCAGTTGTGGTTTGGAATATGATGAGTGCCGGCTACTGTCCAGGCCAACAAAAAAGACTCACTGCCCAGGAATGGGGCGAGAGAGTCCATGTCCAGAATTACAAGCCATGTCCACAGCCACTTCACCTCCTACAAACAAAGCCCTGGAATAATTTTCACTCTTGAAAAAAGCCGATTTATGGCTCCTCCTGGTCACATCCTCTTCCCAACTATCCAAGTTCAAAGTAAGCCATCTAGAAAAAGTGCACAAGGCCAGAGAGCACATGATTTTTGTGTAATTCTGAGCAAGTTCTCCTTGTTGCTCGAGGAACTGCAAAGGCTCCAACGAGCTCAGCTATGAAGCTAGTCTCCATCTTTGTTCAAAAGCTGGTACACAGGGTAAGGACAGGTAAGAGGCACCTTTTGTAGTCATACTGGAAGGAGAATTTAAATGAGATTCAATTTGGTTTTCACTACAATGCCACAGATGCCCCATCAATATTGTCCTTTCAGCAAAATGTTAAGACACACAAGCCCCAAGCTGTCTCATACTAGGTTGCCTCATAAGCGCCTCCAAATTTTAGGTTTGTGTTACATAAACAAATGTGGCATTCTCATGTTTCTTTCTTCATCCCTTCCTCTTGCACAAATTTGTTTTAATCAGTTCACTTCCACTTTTGTAAAAGCCCACAGTTTTTGCTCCAGACTGGTATGAATGGAGGAAAATTGGAACAATTGCTACAGTCTCTCTACCTGCAACCTTCTCATGTTTCCAACAGGCGTGGAAATGCAACTGTTTGACCAAACATAGTTACAGAGCTCAGTGCAACTGGAAACATGGATGAGACTCCCACTACTGTGGAATTTCTACTTCAGAGCTTCCCCAGAGAAGAGAGGAAAGCTGTGGGCTAGAGCAGAGGTCATCAACCCCTGATCCGTGGCCTGGTGCTGGTCCATGGTCTAAGCCAGACCAGACCACGGAGACAGACCTCCCACCCACTCACCCCGCACACACACCCCTCCCCACAACAGCTTTGCACGTGTGCACATGCCAGCACCAGCGTGAGCGCTCCCCCACCCCTTCACACTCACACCCAAGCACCTGCACAAAGGGGTGGGCGTGCGTGCAGATGCTCCTGTACATGCGCGAAGGGGTGGGGGAGCATTGGTGCACACATGCTCCCCCAATCGCTTCACGCATGCACCCGAGAGCATGCACAAGCACAGGGGCGTGCCCCGCTTTCCTCAGAGGCTCAGCTGGTCCGTGGTGCCAAAAAGGTTGGGGACTGCTGGGCTAGAGAATGCAGCAAACAAGTGCATATAGCCATTCCCACTTGTATAAGAACAATCTGGACATTTGAAGGGGACAAGATAATTAGATCAGCTCATCTTTGGCTTGAGAAAATAACTGTTGTTTCTAGCACATAATCAAATGGCAGACTATTGAGGGAGGGGGTTACAAGTAGCCTCTAGGCCACATGTAAAGAAAGTCCAGTTCTCCTGAAAAAGCATGGTTATTACAATATGATTGTTCTCCATGGCACTGAAGGAAGGAGGAGTGGATCACTGATCAGTTTTGGGCTGTAGTGCTCCTCCTACCTATTGTACTCACCTGCAAAGCACAGTAACAGCTGTGTAGGTTGTCCAAGCGAGGGGAGAATATGAACTCATTGAAGGTGCCACCTAGTGTCTGGAAGAGGAGTCACACAGAGAAAGAATCATAGCCTGCATTCACACCCGCCCTTTTCTTTACCCATTTCCCAAGGATCTCTCTCTCACGCTCAACCAGTGTACTTTTAGGCTTCTACAAGTTAGAAGAAAACAGTTGCAACAATCTCCTAGAATATGCTGCTAGAATAAAACCCCTCTTCTCTCTTTTTCTTCTCTCTCTAACTCGGGGAAAGTTGTATAGAACAAGGAAATTATTCTGTCTGTCCAGCACTCTGGACCTTCAAAGTTAATTCTCTCATGAATAGCCCCCTCTTGTCACCCTCTAGTGCCCCACAAAGAATTAAACTCACAGGAGGCTGGGTATCCACCAGACACAGTTCCATTTCTACCACTTGCTCAGGTTTCACTTCCAGCTGGGAGCAGATGAGGGACAACAGAGCCGGAGGGTGTCGATTCTGTTCAAATCAAAGTTTCCAGAAGTGAGCAGAACAGATAAGAGTCCTACTACAACCCAGAAACTGAAGACTTTCTCCCACAATACAAACCTATCCTTCTATGGGACTGCTCCAACTAAGCCACCTGCTTTCACTTTGCCCCATGTTACCTGAAATGATGTGCTGCAAGTTGTCCCTGTCATGGATTCCTCCTTCTCCAGTGCTGCCTGGGCTTCTGTGGCTAGAATCGGCACCCTGTAGAAGGGCAAACAGTGTTATAATAGCAGCTAGAGTGTTGGGTTGCAATTTGATAGATCCTGGATCTGGTCCCCATTGGGCTGTGAAAGTCACTGGGGGACTGTGGCCAGGCATGTTCTCGCAGTATGAGCTTCCTCAGAAGGTGGCTTTGAGGATGCTCTTCGTCCCATCGCTGTTGAGAGGAACACAGAGGTACACCTGGCAGCCCATTTCTTGCCACATGGCTGTTGAAAAGGCAAACAAAGAACCTCCTTCGAAGTCATGTCAATACTGAGAACTTTTTTAAACAATGAAGAAACTAAAAGACAAAACAAAAACTTCAAAAGCTAAACTTCTAAAGATAACAAGGTGAAGAGAAAGGATTTGAATTCTGCTATCTGGAGGATGCTTCTGATTCAGAAGCAGAATGGAGGTGTGCTAATTTTCAGAGAACTGCCTCCCTGCAGTCCTCAGTGATACCCCTCTCTCTCCAAACACACTTTTGCTCTGGTGGGTCAGGACCTTTCCCAAAAGGATGTATAGCCTAGAACAGTTATGGGGAGGGCAGATGCTGGTTTACACTCTCACAGGTGATGCTCAGTGTTTGGTCCAAAGCTCTCATTCACATTGCGCTGGAGGTGGATGGCCAGATGTGGGATGCGGAGAATGGGATGTTCCACCTTCAGCAGCTGGTGCTCCAGCCGCCCTGTGGAGGAGTCCTAAAATTGAAAACAGAATAGACACCAATGTAATACATGGATAGCTCTGCCATACTCAATGGGTATAACAGCAAAAAGGCAGTATAGGCAAAAGCTAAAATATACTAGCAAACAGTCCTCCAAAGAATGATTTTGCAGAAATGTGTATCAAACAAAACAAAACATAAAAAAACTCTCTAAGAATCAAAACTGTCATCCACATGAGGCATTCAAGCACACAAGCTGACAGGATGTGAACCTCTAATTTTGACTAAAGCAACTCTAAAACTGGCAGCAGGAATATATCATTCCTTCCTCCCACATACAGCTTTCTATAAAGAGTGATTGGAGGGGAGGGGAATAATACTTCCCTCCCCTAACACCACTGCTGAAATAAAAATGAAGCCCCTCCGACACAAACAGCCTGTTTCAAAATATTTTTAAAAAACATAAAAAGTCAAACAATCCAGCTGCAGATAACCTCTACTACATCTTCTTAACATTTTTGTCTTTTCACTGAGCATTGTTGGTCACATAAACTCATAAACATTTCAGCAGATAATGATCTGTGTACACATAAACAAATACAACTCTGTGTAACATCTGCCTAGTGGAAGATTAATTCCCTACTCCACTACTCAGTGACACAATAATCTGGTTGAGCAGAAGCAGAAACCCCCAGAGATCACAAAGTGGGAAATACCCTTCTCTGGAGACCTGTAGCTTTCAGCCAAAGTATAAATAGGAGCACTTTGGAGCCACCTCTTTACATCTCATTTTGATGAGTTCACTGACATGAAACTATCAGTTCCCTCTCCTGATGCCATTATCTCTTTAATACAGATGCTCACAAGCTTTTCTCTACTGGACTGTTTCTACCTTATTAAGGATGAGATCCAGGAAGCTTCAGTCCACCACTTCTGCCCCTCTGCCTATTCAACACTTAGGGTTTCAATGAGGCTCTAACCAAACACATACATACAATAAGGCATCATACAGTAAGAGCAGGACAGATGTTTCATGCCTGACAGCAGTAAGCACCAAGCATTTAGTCTTTGCTTATAGCAGGAATGGAGAGCCTTTGGCCTTCCTGATGGTGCTGGAGTACAACTCCTTACTGTTATCCATGTTTCCTACAGGGGTTAAGAATCCAACAGTACTTTCCACCCATGCCTGATATATACAGGACAGCAGAGGTTGGATAAGAGACCGTTTTCATCAGCCAGGCTGACATCCCATCCTGAACCAAGCTGCCACTCATTCTTAAGTGTTGCTCAGCTATGGTTAGAGAAACCGATACTGCAGAAGACCAGCTGTCACAAGACCATAGGAAAGGAGTCACTGTGCACAGGCTGTCATTGCACTGAAGAAATCCTACCCAACTTCTGGAATGTGCTGTGCTATGTAAGCTTAATTTCTAATGTTTTTGCAGAAACTTTCAATATGCTTTCAGATTTACCATGGGGAACTCTTTTTAATCCAGCTATGAGAAACTCTTATTTAAAAAAAGCTGAACATTTTAAAAGTCTGTGCAAGCTACTGCACTCCGCAGGTCTTCTCAGGAGCAACCTATTTTTAATAAACACATGCTCATTACAAGCAATTACGGTGTCCCTGGAGGTGTTTTACAACTTGCCATAATGACTTTCCAAGCACAAAGAGGTAAAATCAACCTGCTTACAAATTCCATGCCTTCTCCCTTTCCTCAGTTCTAATTAATATGAACTCTCTACTCTTCACTGTTTGTCTGAGACTTCACCAATCCAACCCACCAACCACATTCAAAGTACAGTGGTGCCTCGCTTAGCGAGTGCACCGTATAGCGATGTTTCCGTATAGCGATCCCTTTTTCAGGATCACTATACGGAAACATACCCGATCTTCGCAATGGGGAAAACCCGCATTGCGAAGATCGGGTATTGTGGTGGCCATTTTGAAGCCGCCGAACAGCTGTTCGGCGGCTCCAAAATGGCCACCGGAAGCCCGGAAATGGCTGGCGGCCGCCGGTTTTTACCCCGCGCCCCGGGCACCACTGTACTGACAGCCTAAAGACTACAGGGTCAGCCTTCAGATCCCAGAAATGCAGTTAGCTGGACAATGGCAAATTACATCCCTTAACAGTAAATCAAGGCAAGGAAACCTTCTCTTCTTCCTCCTTGGTGGCCGATAAGCTTCATTTGACAAAAGTACAGGCTGAAATGAGAGCACCAAAAGGAAGAGGGTTTCTCAAAGCAAAGCAGAAATGGATTCTCAAAGAGAACTGGAAGAGAAAGGTTTCTCAAGGTAGAATGGGATTGGCCCAACCAGGGAACAGGATAAATCTGGTGGCAGACCTTGAAACAGGAAATTAAACCAAAGGCAGAAAACCTAAAGCAAAGAAATCACAGACAATTTTGGCTGAACTAGCTGTGGTGGGGTAGGAATACAGAAAAGAGGAACAACAGCCACAACCACAAATGAAAGTGATCCCTAGCTGACTGGGCAGAGTGTGCTGCAGGACAAAGTGACAGGTGTCCATCATTTCCAGGGCTAACAGTGCAAAGACATAATAGAAAACGTGGTGTACATATTATGGACATTTAAGCCCCACTAGCAAAAAATCTGCCCTGTATACTTTGAACCAGACTCCAGTCCTACTAAAACGTAGCTAAGCAACCGGGTCCTCTGAGTGCACTCATGTTTATTGGGGCTGAAAGCACTGATCAGGTACTTCATTAGACAGTAGATTAAAAGTGCTGATGTTTAATAACATTTTATGCACTCTGTCCCCTGTGAAGGGTATTCACTGTTAGCACCTCTGCTGCAGCTCTCCCAATGAAAGCAATGCCTATAATATTATCGTTCCACATGATAAACAGTTCAGTTCACTTCATTAAGTATCTTCTCAGTGTTATCAATTCAGGTTAAGAGCTCAATTTTCATCCAATAGCGTAAAACCGAGATAATCAACCCAAGGCTGCAGTCTGAGAGCATATATAAAGGCAAGTGCCCAAACAAATGGTGACAACTTGGTTAAAAGTAATGAAGAATCTCTTTTATATTGTCTCAAGGAAGCATGGGAACTGTGGTATTTCCCACCCCAGGGCAATGGTGAAAGGTGGAAAGAGAAGCAGCTGGATCAGTTTCTCCCACATGATCCTAAGATGCAAATATTTCTGGAGAGACACTTCAATATGTGTCATCACAGTGGCTCCCACACCACTGAGGTAAACTAAGAAAGGGACACAGTAGCAGTTACAGATGAAGGATCAGATGAGTCTTAAGACCCCTTCTGGCTGAACATGTCTAAGAATCAAACAGACATTAAGCCCCACAGTGCAGTGCCTCAGGTAGGACGGACCTTGACAATGACTCTTCCAGCAACAGAAAGATCACGGTCAAACCAGGTGTTCCAGATGCCTCCCCCATAGGTCTCCACAGCCACCTGGATGGTGCCCTCCTGGTTGCGCTTCGAACTGCGTTTCACCTGGATGACATAGAAACACACTCATATATCCTTCCAACAGCCCCAAACAAAGAGAACCCTCCTCATTTGTAAGGAAAGGGGGAAACTGACACAGCTGCCAAAGACGGGCCATGCCATCTTTGTGGCCTGGAAGTGGAATGCTCTAGAGCCTTGCAATAACATACCTGTACGATTGAGTTATCAATCTAAGATATTAGAGATATGGTTTTAATTTGGCCACTTTCTGTCTTTGGGTCGCCTGTATTTATTGAGAAGCATCTTTAATAACACCCAACAAATATGCTGTTGTTTTTCAGAGTGGGAGAACAATGCTTCCTGCAGTTCTTGCAGTGTAGAAAGTCTCAGGCTGGAAAAACAGCTGAAACCCTATCATTTGGGGTGGGGGGAGACCCTTTATGTTTTGGACTTCAATTGCCAGACATCCCACCCAGCATGCTCAAAGGCAAGGGGCTTGGTTCTTTGCTGTACAAACATCTAGAGGGTCCCCCACCCCTGCCATGCTGGACATAGGCAAGTTTACAAGAAGTGAGGGGAAGAGAGAAAAGATGATAGAGAAAACTGGAGCAGTGAGAAGGAAGCGGACACGTGATTTAGCACAAAAAAAACCCCAAAAGGACATGCCAAGTAGTGCCAAAAGCAAGGGTGGGGCAAGAACTTACCCGCAGACACGGACTGTCAGTGTGGGCACCGATCAAGGTAAAGCCATTTCCAGGCTGGAACTGGGCTCCCACAGCGAAGGCAATCAATGTTGAGAAATTTCGGGTCACAAAGTACTTGTGTGGAAAAGCAAAAGAGGGGAAACATCAGTGGCTGGAATCCTATTAGTGGTGAATTGTAACAAGTCGTCAGTGTGGACATCTGCTGTTGAGCACTGAGTCACATGACTGGCCTCACAAAACAAATGCTTCTGGTGGCTTCTTAATCTACACATTCCGCTGCTCAGATCTATGCTGATTGAGTTACACTGGTCACTGTAACTAACAGGATTTTAGCCAGTTTTTTTGGACTGGGGCTTATAGTACAAAAGTATCTTTTCCAAGCTCTGCCTTCCACCCACTCACTCCCCATTCCAGGAGATTCAGAACTGCTACTACAGACTGTTATGATGGAGAGGTTATCCCCCACTCCCCATGGAAGGCCCACGTCTTCCTTCCTTACCTTACGGTTAGGCTGGATATCCCAGTGCTCAGTTTCCTTCAGCTCTTGGAAGCCTGCCTGAAGCAAGCGACACCGACACTCAGCAATCACTGCAGGTGGAAACAGTATGAGCAGTCATCAGTGGGCCATGAATACACACAACTGAACAAGTGTTAAGGTGCTGTGGCAACAGGGTACATGCCAAAGAGCCATCTGGCTCCCCTGAACAATTAGGCTGGAAATCCCATTAGGGGCCATACAGGACTCTGAGTACCTTCCACTCAAATCAGACCAATGCAGTTCCATTTGGGGATCATGACAGGCCCAAGACATTTTGTTCCCTCAAGTAAAGGACAAGATGGTAGACCCTTCCTTCCCATGTACAAAAGCTACCTGCAATGGCAGTTGAGCCCTCCTTTAACACAGGCTGCAGGAGAAAATTCTCCACCACACATTGGGTAGCAGGCTACTTTGGGGGATGGTGTGGGGTGTTCAGGGTAGGCTGAGTGGCAGACAACTCCTTCTTCCAACAGCATATTTGCTCCCTCAGGCAATCTAGGTCAGCCTATACAAGGCCCATCTTTATCGCCAGACCTTCACAGAAACATTTAAGATTTGCTGTTGCCTTACAATCACTATACTAAGTTAGCTAATCAGTCCTTGTTCATTGCACTTGAGTTCAATGTCCAGAAAGAAAAAACAAGATGCTGATTGGGAGTGGGGGGTGGGGAGACAGTCACTCAAGTAGGGAAGAGGCTAAAGAAAAGCCAAGGAGTTATGGACAGGGATCACAAAAACATATAGAACACCATCTATTAGTTAGATTTCTAAAGTTAGGTTTTCGTTAGCATTCAACCCTGCAGCCACCTTTTACAAGATTAACCCTAACTCCTTCCCTTGACTTTCTTAGGTGAGAGCTTAGTGCCTCCACTCATGATTGGTGTTCCTTAGGTTAACTGTTCAAGTGCCACAGTGCTTTTTCTTTTTCTCCTTTAATTTTGCCAAACTACTGAGACAGACTAATACAGCTATTTATTTAATACAACGGAGAGCCTAAGCCAGCAAACACCATGTATATCAGAGGTAGGGATTTCCTAGCTATTTTAAACTTCAGCTCCTAGAACCTAAACATAAAGAATAGAAACTGTGTTGCAAAGCTAATAGTACTAATATACTGAAGTACTCAAAGGAAAAACAAAACAAGAATCCCAAACATCTTATAAGCAGCCCTCAGAAGGCACAAAGCAAATCCACATGCATACAAATGTCTTCAAGAAGCTCTCCATATCTCTCTCGGTTCTCAGAGTCTAAGATTTCCAGGAATAGTATAAGGGTGGGAGAGACAGGGGCACACCCGTTAAAGTGATCTGGTGAGATATGGGACCTCTATCTGTTGAGAATAGTTGGTGTTTGTCAGCCTGTATCTTTATGAGAAAAGATTCTATCAAATGCTACAGTGAAATGAAGATAAAGACATGTAATGAAAAGGTACCTCCATAAGCAGGCAAGTGTGGGTGCATGGAAGGGAGGATAAAGTATCTTCCAGTTTTAATTGTATTCAAAACTGCCCCAAGGAGCCTCCCTGAATCAAGACAATCCAGTCTCCAAAAGGGTAATTAAGTTGAAATCAAAGACTCAGATCCTGCCAGATTATGTTCACCTTGGCTTGCAGATAAGACAAAGAGGAAACATTTTGGAGAAAATTATGAAGGCTTTTGGTGGAGCAAAAGTGGATGCCCGCCAACAAAAAGCAGGTTAATCCCATTGTTCATGTTCCAGTTGAAGTGGGGCACTGGATTCTTTTTAAAAAGGTCATACCGAAACAGATCAAACAGGGTGTCGAATTGTCCTGAGAAGATTTGTCTGGATGTGCATGAACTGAGAAACTGAACAAGATATATTAATGTTGGTGAAAAGGACAGCTGGCAAGACACTTAAAATGGAGCTTACTCCAATTAAGTATCAGCTGTATTGTTAAAAAGCACCTCTGATGCACTAATCGGCATCCATACATGAAGGCTACTAGCAGAAAAGAGAAAGGAAAACAGCTGTGATTAAAACAACACCAAGGATATACTGTGTAACCCTCCAGCCTGAATGGGAGATCTAGGTGATCTCAAAAGTTTGCAAGCAATTTTGTGTCATTTTGGGTAGCCTAATAAAGGTATTTATTTTGCGCTCAGTGTGGTTTAGTGGATTGAGTGATGGGCCAGGATTCTGGAAAATAAGGTTCAAATTCCCTATTTAGCAATGGAAACTAACTGGGGGAGTGGAACTGGTAAAATCACTTCTTAAATATCTAACTTACCTTGAAAATCCAGTCAGGGGCGCTATGAGTCAGTTCTGACTTGACAACACAGAACAGCAACAATAAAGGTATTATGCTAATATACAGTAGATTCTTGCTCCTTATGACCCATACCCCAAGAAAAACCTTTGTTTTTAGGTTAGCGAAAGGAGGTATTATATTTTAATTAAAGCCTGTGGTAGGGGAGACAGTTTATATCTGAAACTATAGATTCAGTAACCTTGCTAGGGTGGGAGAAGGCTCCTTTTGTGAGTGCCTGCCCGCACTGTCACCTTAAATTCTTTGATGATGAGAACGGTGGATTATCGTGTAAAACTACTCTACACGTGTCGCCCTGACCTGTGACAAAACGGGAGAAACACCCGCAAAGCAGCTCAGACCGTAGCCAAACAAGGGGCCAACCCAGCGTCGCTTAAGGGAGGCCCCTTCTTAGTCCGAACTATAGCCATCGTTGTCGAACCGGCGTCAAACTAGTCTCGGAGGGCCCCCCCTCCCGCGCCCCCCGATCCCTTCTGTCTCCTCCCTCTTACCATGATAAGGGGAGGGACTCCGGTTCACGAATTTGAGCAGCTCCTGCGCCGCCGCCAGCACTGCCTGCTTGGAGCCTGCCTGGGAAGGAAAGGGAGCAGAGTCATGGGCGGCGGAAGCCTCTTCTTGACCCACCACCGGCACAACCCGGGAACAAGACATTCCCAGCCAAAACCGGGGCCGTTTTCTCCATCCCACCCCCATCTGCCCTGGCAACCCCCCCCGCCCCCGATCTGATACTCCAGCGCGGCGAGCAAGGAGCTCCCACCGCAGTACCTGCATAGTTCACCGACTCCGCGCCCCCAAAAACCGGCTAAAAACGCGCCTGACGAGTCTGAGCCACCCTCGCCTCGCCGAGCTCGACACCGGCTCCGCCCTGTTCCGCTTAGCCGGCCAGGGGCTTGGGAAGGGACGCTGGGGTTTGATGCCCCCTGCCGGAGGACCTTGGTACAACCGAGAAGGATTGCGGAAGAGCCCCGGATTAATTATTAAGGGCTCGAAAAGGAGGGCGCACGTTTTCCAAAGGTTGCTCTGCCTTCCGCGTGCATAAAGGACTCTGTGTTTCTCATGCTAGATCACGATTCTAATGAGAGGGTGAGAAAGTTACAGTTTGGGACAAGAACCCGGTCGTGCGGACTGGGGGATTCTGGGAGGTGTAGTGCAAAACTGTAACTTTCTCAACTCCGATTTTAAGGCTAGGTTGTCGAGTTCTTGTCTTGTCCCCCCTCTGCAGACGAGGTTTGCACGAGGCCTCCCGTCCAAATCTTTCAGATCAGACCGGGCCTCTTGAGCTCCAGGAGGGCTGCCCCAGAAGATCTTTCCCGCCCGAAAGGGGTGACGTCACCGTCCTTTGCTGCTCCATATACGCTAGCTAGATGACGATACAGGCAGCGAAAGGGACATGGTTTCCCACTGCATAAGGTAAAGGTGCCCTGTGACATTTAGTCCAGTTGTGTCCGACTCTAGGGCGCAGTGCTCATCCCCGTCTCCAAGCTGTAGAGCCATCGTTTTGTCTGTAGACAAGTTCCGTAGTCACGTGGCCAGCGCGACTAGACACGGAACGCCATTACCTTCCCACCGAGGAGGTCCCTATTTATCTACTCGCATTTTTGCATGCTTTTGAACTGCTAGGTTGGCAGGAGCTGGGGCAAGCCACGGGAGCTCACTCCCTCATGTGGATTCAAACTGCTGATCTTACAACCTTGCAGCCCAGAGGCTTTGCACTCCATTGGAGGCAGCCAACTAGCTTTCGGAGTTCAGGGCTGGCCCTGTATTAGGACGTCTTGTCACTGCTATTCTCCCTTCAACATTTGCTTCCTGAGGTGTTTCTGGGCAGCTGTTTTGGCAGTGTGCTTTTGCCGCACTTTGTCCATTAGTAGGCATAATTTGCCTTGTTTCACACTATTATCTGGGACTGTTTTAATATAATCTTAGAACTACAGAGCTGGAAGGGACCTATGGATCATTGAGTCCAGCAGCCCCTGTCAAGGAGGCACCGTGGGGAATTGAACTCCCAACCTCTGATGCCTAAACCACTGAGCTATCCAGCAGTTCTGAATAGAAGAGAGTATTGGCTCTGGTATTTTCCATCTGTTGTCCTATATTCACCTCTGTCAGCCCAGCAGGGTGATGATGGGAGTTGCAGTCCAACAGTTTTGGAGGCACCTAGTTATGAATAGTTGCTCTAGTACCTAAAAAAGAAAAGAAATTGGCATCACCCAATAGATCCAATTATAAAAGAGACCCCACAGTCTCAGGATGCATAAATATATATTCTTACTTAGTTTCATTTATGTTTATTATATTTTGCATTTTTTTCTGTTGTCAATGTTGTTGCTCTGTTGTTCTCCTTTTATGTTTTTTATATTGTTATATTTTATGGGTTAGGAATAGTTGTTTTCTTTATGTTTATTTCCATTGTTGGAAACTGTCCAGAATAGTGAATTGCCGATAGATAGATAGATAGATAGATAGATAGATAGATAGATAGATAGATAGATAGATAGATAGATAGATAGATAGATAGATAAGGCCAAAAGAGTTTAGGGCATTCGGGGGCATTAGTTTGGGATATAAATTTAATTTCTCCCTCCCCCTTTTTTTTTCGTCTGTTACGCAGCTCCACTAGACTACAGTGGTGCCTCTCTTAGCGACGGAATCGCTTAGCGATGGACTTTTTTGTGATAGTCCCTATGGGGAAATTTCACTTTGCGATGATCGCGGGGAAGTGATCATCGCAAAGCCCTCATTTTCGGCCAGCTGATCAGCAGTTTCAAAATGGCCACTGGGAAAACAAAATGGCCGCCCGCTGTTTTGCCTCGCTTTAGAGGCACCGAAAATGGCCGCCCCTATGGAGGATTTTCGCTTAAGGTGAGTTTTTAAGCCCATAGGAACGCATTAAATGCATTTTAATGCGTTTCTATGGGCTTTTAAAAATTATTTAGCGATGAAATCGCTTAGCAACGTTTTTTTCCGGAACAGATTAACATCGCTAAATGAGGCACCACTGTACTAAGGAAAAAGATTCAATATATAGCACAAATTAAACCCCCTGAAGAGAGCCATAAACTGTTTTGTCTGAAATTCATTGAGCAGTTTCTAAATTTCAACAGAGCTATGTACAGTGGTGCCCCGCATGGCGACGTTAATCCGTTCTGGATTAATTGTCGCTATCCGGAAACATTGCAATGTGGGTGGGAAAACCCCATAGTTTAATGCGTTCCTATGGGGCCCAAACTCACCGTTATGCGAAGATCCTCCATAGCGCTGCCATTTTCACGCCCTCGGTAAGCGAGGAAATCACGCGAAAATAGTTGCGGTGGCCATTTTGGGCACCCAGCGGCCATTTTGGAACCGCCGATCATCGCAATGCGAAGATCGGTAAGCGAAACGCTTGCCAATCATCACAATGCGATGTTTTACCATTTAAAACATCGCAATGTGATCGCATTAGCGATCCCAAAAAATAGATCGCTATGCGGATTCGTCGTTAAACGGTGCGCTCGTTAATTAAGGCACCACTGTATTTCTCTGAATACCCCCTGATGGGAAACATGAGCAAAGTTGTGTTGTTGTACTCATGTCCTGCTTGTGAGTTTCCTATGGGGAAATGGTTGACACTGTAGAACGGAATCCTGGACTAGATAGGTTTGTAGTCTGCTTTAGTATAGCTATTCTTATGCTCTAGAAAATGAGAGAGATTTTGCCTCCAAGGGTGGTGATTGAGCATTTTTGCTCAGATTTCTCCTGTCTATGTTTTTGCCTCTGCTGTGGGTGCAAAAACTTTATACATTCTGTGAATTCAGTTTCTCTTCTATAACCACTATCTAAAGTTTCTCGGTGTGTAGACATCCTTCAGTCTCAGGAGACCATGGTAACGTGCTTTGTATGGAGGACTTGGAACAGCATCTAGTGTGGCTGAGAAGGCCAATTCGAGAATGACAATCCACAGTGAAGACAAATACAATCTGTCCCCTGTCCAGCTCCCTGATTTTGCCGGTTTCGGGACTGCTTCTTTGCCTCAGCCTGCTGGACAAGGGTCTCTTCAAAATGGGAGATGCCATGCCACCTGCCTCCAGGCTGAACACTCAGACGTCAAGGTTTCCCATCTGTTACGTTCCATTCCTAAGGCCTTCAGATCCTGCTTGCAGATATCCTTGTATCGCAGCTGTGCTCTCCCTCTGGGGTATAAAACCTGAGGGTGGGGGAGAATCCTTCTGGAATGCTTTTAAATACTCTTTGAAAGCAACTTCTGAAAGCAGCAAGAAAATGTTACTCGTTACACCTGAGAACTAATTTTGCAATCACTGGTGCTATTGGCACTTTTACTTTAACTTTGTAACTATTTTTTTATTTGTTCAAAATACCTTGACCTCACTGTTTTTCTTAAGAATGACCCAAGGTGGGTCATTAAAAGATAATATTTAATGCTACTAACAGTAAGTTTACATATACTAAAAAGGATCAAGCAAATACATCACTAAAAGATGGTAAACAAAATAAATACCGAAAAAAGAGTATGGAGGTCTTGGAACAGTGTCTCGTGTGTGGCTGAGGAGGCCAATTCGAGAGGGACCATCCCTTCCACACTGAAGACAAATCCAATCTTCCCCTGTCCAGCTCCCTGGTTTGGCTAGTTTCGGGACTGCCTCTTTGCCTCGGCCTGCTGTACAAGAGTCTCTTCAAATTGGGAGAGGCCATGATGCACCGCCTACCTCCAGGCTGAACTCTCAGATGTCAAGGTTTCCCATCTGTTGAGGTCCATTCCTAAGGCCTTCAGATCCCACTTGCAGATGTCCTTGTAACGCAGCTGTGGTCTCCCTCGGGGGCGGCTTCCCTGCACTAATTCTCCATACAGGAGATCTTTTGGAATCCGACCATCAGCCATTCTCATGATGTGCCCAAGCCCACGTAGACGGCACTATTTCAATAATGTGTACATGCTGAAAATTCCAGCTCGTTCTAGGACTACTCTATTTGGAACTTTGTCCTGCCAGGTGATACAAAAAATGTGTCAGAGACAGCGCATATGGAAGGTGTTCAGTTTCCTCTCCTGCCGTGCACAAAGGGTCCAGGACTCGCTGCAGTATAGGAGTGTGCTCAGGACACAGGCTCTATAGAGCTGGATTTTGGTGTATGCCTTCAACTTCTTATTGAGCCATACTCTTTTTGTGAGTCTAGAGAACATGGTAGCTGCTTTCCCAATGTGTTTATCCAGCTCGACATCTAGGGAGAGAGTGTCAGAGATCGTTGAACCAGAAAAACACTAAGAGAGTAAAGGTAATGGATGTACACTAGCAGAACAGATTACAGGGAAATTCAGAATACAGGTATCACCCAAGATAGTCAAAGCAAAGAGTTCAGCTGTGGGATTTGCTGCTACAAGATGTAATGATGGCTGCTAACGTGGACAGCTTTCAAAGGGAATTAAACAAACAATGGAAGTTAGTGACTGCTCGTCATAATGGATATACCTCCTCCAGCACCAGTAGACCTATTGGTTGCTGTTGCCCTCTTGTCCTGATTGGGGACTTCCCTGTAGGTTGGCCATTGTGTGAACTGAACAGTGGAGCAGATAGCACTTGGGGCTGTTCCAGCAGTGCTCTTGTTACATCATTAGGTTCCTAACATTTCTATTCCTCTACCTTCCCCACAGGTTAGGGCAAACCTAAATTTGAAATAACCCATCCAGATTCAAGTGCTTTCGAAACAGTGATAGTATGGTCATTGGCTGTATTTTTGTCTGCAAAGAGGAAGTAGAAGAATGTGGCAGTATATTTTCTCCAGATATCCAGATCCCCCTGTATTATATCTCCAGGTAAGACTAACGATTTGTTTGCCTGCCTACTCCACTTCCTTGCCAGGTGTGTGATCACAGATATGATTCTTCCCTGCCCTATGAAGTTGGAAGAACTTTTTTTTGAA